CCCCCTCTACCCCCTCCATACATCCCCACCTTACTCCGTCATCCCTTCCCCCGATCCCAACCTCAGCCCCTCCACCCCCTCCATGCAGCCTCACCTCAGGCCTTCCCCCCAGCTCCAGCGTACCCCTGCACTCCCCCCTCCCCAGCCCCCCCGGCGGTGGAAAGTCAGTGGTAAATTTTGTTGCGACAGATGCATGAGTGCATTGGGCAGCGGGTTTCCCTTCTGTACAAGCAGCCAAGTGTGATATCTCCTGTTACAGTTACTGTACGAAGATACTCTGAGTCACAGCCGCCTGTTGGAGACGATCCAGGCTAAAGGCGAGAGCATGGCCCAGCACTACGTCACCCGCTTGGAGCTACAGGAACTCCAGGAAAGGTTCGGTAATCTGAGTGAAAAGGCCAAGGTAAGCGACACAGAAAGGGACCAATAAAAAAAGGAAAACAAACAAATGAACAGCGTTGTAAAGCCATTCAGAACAAAACCTGCTGGAATACTTTTTGAAGCATAGCCACATTGCCAAATTGCGCACAGCAGGATCCCACAGGTGCCAACCTGGCCATCAGACCATGTTGCTGTAAGGTTATAGATTACCCAGTTCCCCTTCAGGGAGAATCCCTTTGCCTATTTACATTGAGATAGTGCCTCGGGAGTTCTTTACATCAACCTCCGACTGCAGACAGGGCGATGGCTTAATGGCCCATCATAAGGATGATAGTGTGACAGTGCAGGCGCCCCCCCGACCCCCAATGTTACACTGGAATGTCTGCCAAGCCCGTGAGCTTAAAGCTGTGGAGTGAGACTTATACCAGTATTTGTCCAGGGCAGAATGCTACCCTTGTGGGACAACTGCCAAAAGCATCTATTGATACTTCACATCTATAATCTGTTGGTGCAATCCTGTATTGTCTAATACCTGCTGCTGGAGTTATTTGTGGTCTGTATGGAATAAGAGGTGGCAGGAATGTCAACTGGATGCCTTGATATTGTATGGATGTAGGTGGCATATTAAACAGGGCAGATGGGAGCAAAAATCTGCAAGGGGATGTGCATGGATCATTTGAAAAGGCAGAGCTAAGGCAGATGGATTTCAGTGCGACAAAGTGTAAGGTGAAGATAAAAGCAGAACATCTTCCAGATGGTGTGGAGCTAGGAACTGTGGAGGACCAGAGTGACTTAGGGGTCCATGAACAGAGACTATTAAAAAGGTAGTTGTCAGGGACAAAAAACAAATCAGATGCAAATGGGCGGATTGCCTTTCTCTCAAAACAGCTTGAAGAAGTGGGTGGAAGTTACCTTGCATCTATACAGAACTCTGGTTACATGTATTTATAGCACTACATTCGGTTATGAGAATAATTTCTCAGGGAGAATATATTGACCTGGAACAGAGTGCAGTGCAGACTCAGTAGAATTCTACCAATGGACGAACGGGTTAAATTATGAGGACAGGCCTCATAGACTGTATTCCCTGAAGACACTAGATTAAAGAGTTGATATAATTGAGACATTAATGATGATTAAAGCGTTCATAAGGCACACAGAGAGATAAAGGGAGAAGAGAGATGGAGAGAGAAAGGGAGATAGAGAGAGAGGTAGAGAGCGAGAGAGAGAGAAAAAGCTATTCCTCCTGCTGGGGGAGTCTACAACCAAAGGGGACATAACCTTAAAATTAGAGCCAGACCACTGGGGGTGATGCCATTTCTTCAAGCTAACGACTAGAGGACTCGGGAACTGTTTTTCTTCAAAAGCTTAGGCTCAGTGGAAACTTTAGAAACCGAGACAGAGTTCATTTGGTTGGGATTTCAAAACGATAGGCAATCCAAAATGGGTAAACAGGGTTGAGGTGCAGCTTCGTCCCGATGTGATTTGAAGATCAGAGCAGGTTTGGATGAATGAGAGGCCTGCTCCAGTTCCTGCCCCATCCTATTTTTATTCCCAAAAAGAAAATACTTTATTTACAAAATATCCAATCGTACATTCTAAAACATTTCAGTTGGACCTTACAGAAAGTGCAGTAATTTCCTCTGCAGGGCATGTTGCGCCCTGAGTTAGTTCAATACAGTTGTAATGCACATGAAGTTTACTGTACTCCTTGAACAGCAAGCATACAGGCTTGGAGGGTCTGTAACGTTTTCAGACTGTCGCTGTACTAAGGTTGAAAGGCCGTGGCCTTCTGCCATGATTCCTCTGGCTGCTGGCCCTACCTTTAGTGCATCCCTGTCTTTGCCTATTTATTTACAGGAGATATCTGTAACCCTCCTCTTGATCACCCCTTCCATTTAACAACGAACACTGGCTCCTTCATCGACTGCTGCTCCTCCATGATTGACACAGTTTGCTTGTTGACTTCCCTGAGCGTCCACCTTCACCATCCTTCCCCATCTTGCACTCCGAGAGTGACACTGACTGAATAATTCTGCTGTTTTCCCTACAATGTGGAGATGAGACTGTGTTCCCTTTGGTTTCCAGGAGGGCACCAGGAAGGCTGAAGAACTGCTTCTGCTGCACCAGGAGTATCAGCAGGGTCTGAAATCGTTTGAGGAATGGCTGGAGCAGGAGAAGGAGAATCTCTGCTGCTGCTCCCACCTGGGGAATGACGTCGAGACCCTTGAAAGCATGCTCCGAGACCTAGAGGTAAGAAGGAACGTGCCGCGTCTTCCACAGCCTCAGCACCTCCCAGAGTTCTTCACTGTCACTGATGTGCTTCCTTTGAAGCGTAGACACTGCTTTAAGGTGAGAACCACACAACAGCTATACTGTGAATGGTGCTTCACCAGCACCTTCCGGAACCATGACCTCTTCCAGCTAGAAAGACCAGAGCAGCAGGGACATCTCCACGTCTTGCAACTTCCCCTCAGAGCCGCTTGCCATCCCAACGTGCAACAGTGCCATAGCTCATGGCAGCGCTGCCACCGACATTTCCCCGTAAACCGTGCGGCTGCACAGATCGCTCTGAGGGTCTGCACACGCTGATCGGCTTCCCGACTCTGTGCCCACCGTTCCGGTTTTGGAAATCGCTGCCACGCTCGAACCCGGGAGCTCAGCGCAGGAGGGACCAGTACTGGAGGCCATGTAGCTCACTGGCACCTTCTCCAGGGCACTTCTCCAGGTGGGCAACAAAATGCCAGGTGTAACCCACATCCTGAGAATGAATAACAACTAAATGTTCTAGTGATGTTGGTTCAGGGACCAATTATTAGCCGGGACGGTGTGCCTGCTCCTCCTCAAAAACAGTGTGAATGTCCTTATACTGGCACCTGCAAGGGTACAGTGGGCCTCAGGGAAAGATGGCGCTCTGACATTTCAGTGCCCTCGTGGTTTTACATTGAAGCCTTGCGGGGATGGTGAGGATTCTGGAGCAGGGCTTGAACCCATGGCCTTCAGAATTCAGGGTGAGAGTTTTACCTTCACCCCAAGCCTGATATTACATTGTACGTAGTATAGGTCATGCAGTTCACTTCAGGAATACATCCCAAGGAGATGCCTTACATTGTACTAATCCAGCATCATGTCATAATTTTGTTTCTCAGGACTTGGAGAGGCACTGCACTGAAGGCCAGGCTTTAATGAGTGCAGTTCTTCAGAGCCAGGAGAAGATGACCCTGTCCGGGTCTACCTACATGGAGGATCGCATTCTTGAATCTGCGCAACGGGACTGGCACCTGTACCAGCGGAGGCTGGCTGAGACAAAAGAGAAGGTCATTGCCACCCTGAGCACGCTCAGGAAGCTGGAGGAGATGTTCCAGCAGGTGGACGTGTGGCTCTCTGACCTCGAGGGCAAAGTTAACTTCCGGACGGGGAGAAAGTCTGACCGAGACACAAAGCAGACTCAGCTACAGCAGTTACAGGTGTGTGCAGTGCAAACAGAGATCTCCACGTTACCCTACAACACTGTATACTCCATCAGCCCATTCCTTACATTATTACACAGTGACTGAAGCTGTCTGATTGACTAATCCAGCTGCTGTGAACATTCAACCTGCACAAGAATATTATCTGAGGATGAAATAGTGTTGAAGATTGGACTTAGGAACAAGAGTCGGCCATTCAGTCCCTCTGATCCATTCCAATTTTAACCTTGGCTGATCTGAGTTGTAACCCCACTGTGGGAGGTTGTGGTAACGTCACTGGACTAGCAATCCAGGAAACTGAGGCCAGTGTTCTGGGGATAGAGGTTCAAATCTCAACCATGACAGATGTTGAAGTTTAAATTCAATAAAATCTAAGATAAAGAGTTGACCTAATGGCAACCATGAAGCTGTTGTCAATTAATCATAAGAGACCATCTGCTTCTCACTACATGCCCTTTAGGGATGGAAATCTGCCATCCTTACTTAGCCTGGCCTACATGTGACTCCAGACCCACAGCAATGTGGTTGACTCCTAACTGTCCTCTAGTTAAAATCAGAAATTGCTGGAAAAGCTCAGCAGGTCTGGCAGCATCTGTGAAGAGAAAGTAGAGCTTGCATTTTGGGTCCAGTGACCCTGCTTCAGTCACTGGACCCGAAATGTTAACTCTGTTAACATGCTGAGTTGCCAGACATGCTGAGTTTTTCCAGCATCCACAGTTATATGTATTTTTTTGTCAATCAGGCTGGCCTAGCTATTGACATCCACTTCTTGTGAACAAATTAAAAAGAAAACTACCTCGATTCCATATATCTTACTGCTTTTTCTATCCTTGTGATGTACAAATGAACAAGGAAAAAGAGTTGGCTCTGATCTGATCCTCTACATTTCTGCATATCTTGATAATCTTTCATCCTCTTGACAATGACGGATCTATCTACTTCTGCCCTGAAAATATTTAAAGATTCTGCATCGGCTGCCCTTTCAAGAAAGGAATTCCAAAGACTGTCTGAGGGAAAAATTATTCTCTGATCTCTGTCTTGAATGGGCACCCCCTTATTTTTAAATTATGACCCCCTATATCTAGTTTCTCCCACAAGAGGAAACATCTTTTGACATCCATGTGGCCAAATCACCTCGGGACCTTATATGGTTCAAGTAAGTCATCTCTGATTGTTCTGAACTTCACAGGGTACAAGCCTAGCCCTGTCTAGCCTTTCCTTTTTCTTTATTGTTCCTTGTTTTACTAACAAATATATATTTGTCTGACATTTTGAAACTTTGTACTGACACAGCCTCAATAATTTTTGGGGGACAAGCTTCTATTTTTACACTCCCCTTTACCTGAAGCACTGTATCCTGAATGACCTGTGTTAAATGTGAAATCTTATATTCCTTTGACATAAAGTCATAGTATCATACAGCACAGAAGCAGACACTTTGGTCCAACCAGTCCGTGCCAACCATAATCCCACCTGCCTGTACTTGACCCATATCCCTTCAAACATTTCTTATTCATGTACTTATCCATACACCTTTTAAACATCGTAACTGTACCCAGATCCACCACTTTCTCTGGAAGTTCATTCTGCAAACAAACTACATCTGTGTAAAAAAAATTGCCCCCTCATGTCTTTTATAAATCTTTTTCCTCTTACCTTAAAAATATGCCCCCATCTTTAAAATCTCCATCCTAGGGAAAAGACACCTGTTGTTCACCTTATCTATACACTTGGTGATTTTATAAACCTCTATAATATCACCCCTCATCCTCCTATACATCCCAGCCTCTCCTTATAAGTCAAACCCTCAATTCCTGGTAAATCTCTTCTGAACCCTATCCAGCCTGTTCACACTTTCAAATCCTTTTATCATCCGAAACACCTCGATAAAATCATTCCTTAATATTCTCTAGTTAGTGGAATATAATTCTCGTGAATAAAACCTGTCCTCATAATTTAACCCTTTCATCCCAACATCATTATGTTGAATCTGCACATTTCCTAATGGGAGACAACCAGATCGTTATGTAACATACATGTCCTCTGGCCCTTTGGATTCCAATCTGCTTAAGATAAAGGCCAACGTTCCATTTTTGTTTCTTTAATTGTTCCTAATTATTTAGTTCAAATGATGTTGCTTGCTGAATTATAATACACACATCTCCTGCTAATAGTGATCCTTCTCTAAGTAGACTTCCAAAAGAGTTCTCCTGTCTGACTCTGTTGTTAAGGCTATCACAAAGTGTACCTTATTTTAACTTAATGGAAGCTAGCTCAAACAACTACAGATTCTATCTGTAGCATAGAATCCTTACAGTGTGGAAGCGGGCCATTCAGTCCATACCAACCCTCTGAAGAGCATCTCACCCAGACCCACCACCAACCCTGTATTTCCCATAGCCAACCCACCTAACCTATGTATCTTTGTGATATGGAAGGCAACTGGAGTGCCCAGAGGGAACCCATGCAGACACAGGGAGAACGTGCAAACTCTACACAGACAGTCTTGAGGCTGGAATTGAACCTGGGTCCGTGGTGCTGTGAGGCAGCATTGCTAACCACTGAGCCACCAAGCCACCCTGTAAGCCACCATGCCATAAGTTTTTGGATAACTACAGCAAAGCTTCAGTCACTCAGGCTTTTGATTGTTAATAAAAACCTTGTGTAACTAATAATCTGTGCACAAGTTGGAGATAGTGCTCCATTTTGCAGAATGGTTTGGACGGTATAAATGATATTTTGTCCCCCTTTCAGTGACTGGACACTGTTATTAGTTACATTTAAATGACAGTGTGCGGACGATTCACTTTCTCTTCTGCCGTATCAGAAATGGAACGAGGAAATCCTTGCTCGGAAGGATGAAGTGGAAAGTGTTGGGTTGCTTGCTCATCAAGTGCTGGAGGAGAGTCACATCAACAGCAGTGTGGGAAGTCAAGCTACCCATCTCGCTGCCCGATACCAGGGCATTCTGCTTCATGTGGTGGTATGTAGCTCAATGAATCAAGTCTGTGCCAAACTGGCAACTGGGCACTCAAGCTTCTAGTGGAATATATTGTGTAGTTAAAGATCATTTACATTTTGAAAGTTTCTGTACTTTCACTGATCACTGTACCTTTGTCAATGCAGTGAAGTTTTACAGGGGTGAAAACATATAGTCATGGTCATCTTTTTTGAGATGGCTAAGGGGTGACTTGAAACAGGTTCTTCAGCATTGAGAAAGATTATGGCTAAGTATCCATTGGTCTACAGGGGACGTTAAGAGGGTCGACTGTCAGGGCAGAGACAAATTAAATAAAGGGAAGCGAAGAGAAATGTTCCTTTACACCGACGACAATTAGAATTTAGAATTCCCTGACACGATTTTATTGCAGTAGACCCTGTACATTGTTTTAAAAGGATGTTAATAGCTTGAGAAAGAGGAATAGTCATTGGAGAAGCAGGAGAGTGGGATTAGACTGATTTGATGTGAAAGGGTGCAGGGAGTGAGATGGACAGTGGGATTAGACTAAGTAGTACATTAGAGGGAACAGGGATTGAGATGGAGAGTGGGATTAGACTAAATAGGATTTTAAAGGGAATGGGGAGTGAGATGGACAGTGGGATCAGACTGTGTAGGTTATTAAAGTGAATTGGGGAATGAGATGGAAAGTGGGATTAGACTGTGTATGACTTATATGGAGAAGGTACCACTACAGATGGACTGAATAAACTGTTTCTAATTTAGAACATTTTATGATCAGGTCCCCATGGACAGAGATGTGAGACAGTACCCCAAGAGATGAATGCTGAGGGTATTCCCTACCTCAGTCTGGGTAAATGTTTGGGCTATGCTTGCCCAGTGAAACCAAAATTTGAAAGTCAACAAGTTATGGGGAATTCAAATCTCAGAGTGGGAAGTCCACAACTTGGGAGGGACCAAAACCAGACAGACCAGTATACTGCAATTCCAAACCTAAGGCAACAAAAATCTAGAGGAAATTAAACCCAGGGAGAGCAAAGCTAAAGAGGAGAACTCATACTGGAGGGAACAGTATTTGATGGAACAAATATGGTATGGGTCTATAGCTGTGAGTTTCCAACTCTCTTCAAAACTCATCCACAGGATATGGTCCCTCCAAATTAATGTGAAAATTATTAGCATCTTAGCAGATGTAAATGTGTTTAAAAGCACATTATGGGCCATGAGAAACTGCTGTCATTTGCTAACAAGTATTTCACTCTCAGTGGACTGACCTCACGCAGACTGATCTGCTCCTTCAAGTGCAGACCATGTCTAGAATTGCTCTTCAGTGAGAGAGAGGATGCCCACTGTAGGCGTGTGGTAGTTCACTCCAGCTTGACTGAAGATTGGGAACCTGTGTCACAGAAGGGTCTAGACCCGAAACATCAGCTTTCCTGCTCCTCTGATGCTGCTTGGCCTGCTGTGTTCATCCAGCTCTACACCTTGTTGTGTCTCACCCCTGGTTCACTGCGTTTGGTTTACTCCTGGGTCAGAGAGAAGTGGCCCAATTCTTTTGCCATTTGAAAAGAGTTGTCCGCTTCAGTGTCAAGAACCCAGTTCATTTTCTTCCAATTTTTGATTTTGAACTTAGTCTGTGTGAGTGTATATACTGCAGAGTACAAATAATGGAAAGGACTTGCATTTATCAAGCACCTTTCACAAATTTATGGTGTCCCTAACGTGCCTCAAAGTCAATGATTTTGATTTGTGTTGAAAAGTAGGGAAACGTGACTGCTAATCTACACACAACCAAGCCCCACAATCAGCAATGTGATAATGGTCCCATCCTCTACTTTTCACTGGTAATTGAGGATTAATTATTGCTCAAGGCATTGCTCATCTTCTGAATACAGCCACGGGATCTTTTATATTGACCTGAGAGGGTAGCCGGGCTATCGGTCTGGCATCTCATTTGAATTCTGGCACCATTGCCAGTGCTGCTTGCCTTCTGAGAGTGTCAGTCTGGGATACGGTGATAAAGTGGGGCTTGAGCCCTGGACGTGGCGATGAGAGTGCCATGTCATAACAATAGGGATTAGCACAAGCAGTTTGAGATTGCAGTGTCACTGTCGTGAGGCACCAAGCCCCTGAATGTTCTGGATGGTGCGTTCCATCCTGCACTGGGCAATCTGTCTTTTCTTGCAGGACCAGACCAAATTGCTGAAAGAGGAACTGAGAGCTTTGGAAGAAGCTGACTCGGCACTGGGTACCTACACAGACTGGCTCCGTGCCACCCAAAAGAACTTTAGAAACATGGCTGTGGCTTTGAATGTGGTGGACAAGATCGCCATGGAAAACAAGATTAAAAAATTTGAGGTAAGAGCAGAGGAACTGTGTGCGTGCACCTTGGACTCCTCCATATGGGCTGATGAACGAGGTGGATACTATACATTACTGCTACAAGAGCTCTACATTTCACAAGCACACATTGGGAATTTTCTTTTTATTTATTCATTTGAGGGCATTGCATTTATTGCCCATCCCTAGTTGCCTTTGAGAATGTGGTGGTGAGTTGCCTTCTTGAATCACTGCAGTCCACCTGCTGTGGGTTGACCCACAAGCCATCAGGGAGGGAATTCCAGGATTTTGACCCAATGACAGTGAAGGAACGGTGAGATATTTCCAAGTCAGGATGGTGAGTGGCTTGGAGGGGAACTTGAAGGTGTTGGTGTACCCATAAGTCTGCTGCCCTTGTCCTTCTAGATGGAAGGGATTGTGGGTTTGGAAGGTGCTGTCTGAGGATCTTTGGTGAATTTCTGCAATGCATCTTGTAGTTAATACACCCTGCTGCTACTGAGCGTCAGTGCTGGAGGGAATGGATATTTGTGGATGTGCCAATCAAGCAGGCTGCTCCCACAAGGCTGTGGGAGAAAGTGAGATGAGGGGGAATAATTTGGAGTTTGTTAGTGAGTTAAAGGGGAAGAGGTTTTAGAGAAATGAGCAGGACAGTGTAGTGAGTTTTATGCCTTGTACCTAAGAGGAGAGAATGGGTAATAGGAGGTGTTTTGGGCATGGGGGAATACAGGATAATGTGGAGAGAGAAATGGGCTGTGGGTTGATACTGGCCACAGGGAGGGCTGAGGAGATATATTTTGGCCTTGATACAGGACTATGAGGAGAGAATGTGGCAGGGAGATTGATACATGGATGTGAGAAGCAAACTGGGCAGTAGGGAGAGAGGTGGGGAGAGACTGGGGCAGTGGGGGAGAATGGGACAATGGGATATGTTCTGGAATCAATACACAGCTATTAGGAGAGGTGGGGAGAGAATGGGGCAGTGGGGTTTAGAGTGGGATAGTGGATTGTGTTTTGGGACCAGTGCATGGTTACGAGGAGAGAATGGGACAATGGAGAGAAAAATGGGAAGATAATGGAAGTGAATAGGGTAGTGAGATAAGCTTAGGGATCATACACAGCTATCAGGAGGTGATGAAACAGTGGGGAGAGAATGAGTTAGTGGGGGTGGGGTGGGGTGAGGTGGGGTAAGCTTTGGGATTGAAACCCATAGCTGTATGGAGAGGGTGAGGCAGTGGGGAGGGAGCTGAGCAGAGAATGGGCAGTGGGATGAGTTTTGGGATTAATACTGGGCTGTGAGGAGAACATGTGTTGCTTTAACAGAGATCAGAAAACCCTGATGTGTGGAGCAAACACCTATGGCTCAGTACCATCCTGAGCTCATGCAGGGATGTCCACACTGGGCATAGTTTTCACTCCATCTGTCCTCTCTGCTTCTTCATTTCCACTTGAAGATGTGAGACCCTTTGATTAACATCAATCAGCCCCTTTGATCCAAACATCTCTGTTTAGTAAAGAATACATGTTTGACAACTCTTAACGGAATCCATGGAGTTGTCCATTATGTTGGAGTTTAGCTGACCACTACTGTGGACTATTTTAGTCTCCTGCCATAGCCTTTTTGCCTTTGAGAGATACTGTTTTAATTTCCAGACACTGCACGATGATATTGACATGGGGAACAGCTTACTGAAGATGATCCTTGAGAAGAGTGAGAGAGCTATGGAGTATCTGGAGGGTCCAGAGGCACAAGGTCTGCGGGAATCTATGGACAGCCATATTGGCCAACTGAATGAGTTGACCAGCTCCATTAGGAGGGAGCATAGCAATCTGGAGAAATGTCTGTACCTCACGAAGGAGTTCCTGGACAAATACCAGAGCCAGACCAAGTGGTTGGCAGAGTATCAGGCCATCTTGCAGATCCCAGTGGACCCCAAAGTGGAACTGTTTGAGAAGAAGGCCCAGCTGGCAAAGTACAAGGTAATGGAAACGGAGAAAGTAGCACCATAAGCAGAATACTGCAGGAAATCTGAAGCAGAAACAGGAAACGCTAGAAATACTCAGCAGGTCTGGCAGGCTTGTCGGAGAAAGTTCACATTTCAGTTCGATGAGTTTTCATCAGAATAGAGGAAAGACAGAAATGTGATTGGTTCTAATTGGAGAAAAGTGGAGAGGATGGCGAGTTGAGGAATTTCAGATCAGCCATGATCTCATGGAATGGTAGAGCAAACTCGACGGGCTGAATGGCCTGCTTCTGCTTCTGTGTCTTATGGCTGTATAGAAGGGGGATGGTGGGGGTGAGGGAAATTTTATGATAGGATTGGAGGCCAGGAGGTGGATTAGCCAACGGAAGCGAGAGGTGGGTGTAGGTGTGAAACGAAAGATGCGGCCAGATGAGGTGTGGTTGGTGGAAAGGAGCCATCCCAATGCAGAAGGACAAAGGAAATAAATAAACCAGCAAAAAAAAATGCACTAAAAGTGGAGGCACAGGCTAGATCTAAAATTGTTGAACTCAATATTGAATGTAGAAGGCTTTAGCCAAGTCAAAAGGTGAGGTGCTGTTCCTCGAGTTTGCATTGAGCTTCACTGGAACATTACAGCAGGCTGTGGACAGAGAGGTCAGAGGTGAAGCAAGATGGAGAGTTAAAATGACAGGAAGCTCAGGGTCACACTTGTGGGCTGAACAGAGGTGTTCTGTGAAGAGGTCACCCAGTCTGAGGGGCTAGGTGACAATACAAATAGTCAAACTTAGTACAGGATAAAGAAGGGTATGTTTGTGTTGCACCTTTTGTGACCTCCGGACCATGTTAGAGGAATGCAGCCACTGTTGGAACAATGTCAATCACATTCTGTCATAGGGTCACAGAGATGTACAACACAGAAACAGACCCTTCAGTCCAACTCGTCCATGCTGACCAGATATCATAAATTAATCTAGTCCCATTTGCCAGCATTTAGCCCATATCCCTCTGAACCCTTTCTATTCATATACCCATCCAGATGTTTTTTAAATGTTGTAGTTGTACCAGCCTCTACTAACTCCTCTGGCAGCTCCTTCCATACACGCACCATGCTCTGCATGGAGAAGTTGCCCCTAAGGTCCCTTTTAAATCTTACCCCTCTCACCTTAAACCTATGCCCTCTAGTTTTGGACTCCCCTACCCTGGGGGAAAAGACCTTGGCTACTCGCCCTGACCACGTGACAGCATGGACCCACAGACACCAATGAGGTAATTGTTGCTATTGGCAAATTTTAGATACACGTCTCTCTATCCCATCACCTCACTTATTAATAAATGCAGTGAATATTAGAGGCTTGTCACAAATCCACGCAGAACATCACAAGTCCTATTCATCTAATTAGAATTACACCTCTGTCTCCTTCTGCTCAGCCAGTCTACCAATCAGGCCAATAATTTGCCTCCAGCAGCTTAAGTTCCAACTTTAGCAGACAGTCTCGTTGTAATTTCTGTTTTTATTTTGTCATGTTATACACGTCAGACTGCTGCCAGACCGGATTTATAGAGTAGAACCCGAACACGCAGAAAGAGGGCCCATTTGTGCCTTTACTGGTTCTTTGAAAGAGAAATCCAGTCAATCTCACACCCCTGTTTTCTCGCTAGACTGCTGTCTTGTTATTTTTTGTTTACACATCCAGTTACAATTGAAAGTTACAATTACATCCTAGGTAGGGCATTCTAGATACCAACAACTCACTATATTAAAAAAAAAAATCCTCGTTTTTGCACGAGGCTTTTTTGCCAGCTTTCTCAAAGCTCGAGTTTAAGAACCTTCCTATCAGTGGAAAGTAAGAAAAGGAATGGTCCACTTTGCCTGTCTAGTCTGTTCTGCCAATCAGTTAGCTCATAGTTGACCTGTACAAAGTGTGGAAACAATTTATACTTATTTACTTGATTAAATACCCTCAAAATTGTCATTACGTTTTTCATTAAATTTCTTACTACAATCTCAACTCCTCTATTTTGCCCACCCCCGGCCAATATAATTGAAATCTCCCATTGCCAGTACCATCCCAGCCAAGCTCAGCAAATCCTCGTTATCCTTTCTAAGGTGTGACACCGAGGATAGGACACACATTTTCTCTGTCCATCCGTGCTGAGCGAATGAATCGACAGAATATCACGGGGCGTGTGGGTTTTTTTTAAAATTGTTTTGGAATGTTTGTCAGCGGGAGAAGATCCGTTTCGGCAAACTGTTCCATTATGGTTGGCAGATCGAGGAGATTCTCCCTTTCATGCTGGGAGCTGACTCTGAGCACTGCACAGAGATGGGAAAGCTGAGTGTGCCATTCGATGGCTTATCTAATCCTGCATTCTTCAGCACGGTGGCTCAGTGGTTAGCACTGCTGCTTCACAGTGCCAGGGACCTGGGTTCGATTCCACCCTCAGGCAACTGTCTGTGTAGAGTTTGCACATTCTCCCTGTGTCTGCGTGGGTTTCCTCCGGGTGCTCTGGTTTCCTCCCACAGTCCAAAGATGTGCAGGGTAGGTGGATTGGCCATGCTAAATTGCCTGTACTGTTCAGGGGTGTGTAGATTAGTGGGGGATGGGTCTGGATGGGATGCTCTGAGGGTCAGTGTGGACTTATTGGGCCAAAGGGCCTGTTTCCACACTGCAGGGATTCTATATATGTGTGCCATTGCAGGCTCAGACTCAGGTATGTCAAACACATTCCCAATGTTTTGGACAGGCATTTAGAATCTTGTCCATCCTCCATTTCTTACACTCCCCACCAATGATGGCTGTGTTTTCAGATTTAACCTGGAATTCCTGGCTTTTGCCTCCAGCTCTATCCTCCTTTAGGGTGCTCCCTAAAACCCATCCGTCCGATCAAGCCTTTGGCCCCTGCTCTGTTATCTTCTCATCTAGTTCTGTCAATGTATGTCAGAATCCAGTGATTGCCTCTGAGAGAAGCAAACATTCTCAGGGCAACCAGCAATGGCTCATAAATACAGTCCTTGCCTTTGGTGAGATCTGGTCTGCAGTTTGGTCCAAAACAGTCTTGTGTAGACCGAACCAAATATCAGAACCATCCCCCGATGTCTCGTGAACTAAGTGTATCCTGCGCTAGCTCTGCAGATTGTAGCATGGACGTCCTATCAAGCTGCCCGTGCTGGGGCTTTTCAATTCCTGCAGATTTTGTTGCAGCAGTTGGATTTTCATTCTTCTGCCTCACTTGGATCTAAGCACAAGGGCCCAGAGATGGCAGGACAGCTTGCATTTATGTAACGCCTTTAATGTAAGTGCAACACACCAAAAGCCATTCACTGGAGCAATTTTAGGCAAACTTTGACATCAAACCACATGAGCAGATCTTTGGTCAGGGTTTAGATTTTAAGAAGCAATGGTAGAACAGGGTTTCAAAAAGAGAATCAGGGAGATAGACAGCTGAAGACTTGATGCAGTGAAAGCGTTTGAACGATGGACAAGATTCTGTAGCAGAGGTTCGAATATATGGAGTACTTTAGTCTGAGCATGTTAAAGTTTAAAACAGATCACATAAATAAACCCTAGGCTAATCTCTGGTATCCTGCCTCACTCCAAACTCCATCCTGCCAAATATCCTATCTACTCGGTCTTATAATCATCAAAACAGTTCTCCCTTTGCAGTCTACGATTGACAATAACTCATTGTAATACATGAGTTTTTGCAGAGTAACAGCATGTAGAGTGAATACCTAACTTCTCCTATTTGCCTCAGGCCATCCAGCAAACCATCGTGTCTCATGAGCCAGGGATAAAGTTGGTGATCGAGAAGGGCCAGGCTGTGTTCGAGCTCATTCACGACCCTGCAGTCAGCGACAATCTGAAGAGGCTGCAGTCAGATTACCAGGAGCTGTGCTCCACGGTGATGGTAAGGTCCTGAGGGTCAGGGTGGGTCCCTGAGCCAAGGTGAGGGCTCCAGGGTCAGGGAATAGGAACTGGGATTAACCCACCATGAGGTTAAGGGCAGAAAAGTCAGGGTAAGGTTCTGAGTCAGGAAAAACATTGAGGGGTCAGGATAAGGTATGAGGGTAAACACCAGTCCTGGGCATGGTCGGGAAACAAACAGTGGGGAAACAGCCCAGAGAAAGGGCTACATTCCACCTCCCCCCGCCTGACCACACACACAGAACAGAAGGGGCAGCATGGTGGCTCAGTGGTTAGCACTGCTGCCTCAGAGCACGAGGGACCTGGGTTCGATTCCAGCCTCAGGTGACTGTCTGTGTGGAGTTTGTACATTCTCCCCGTGTCCGCGTGGGTTTCCTCTGGGTGCTCTGGATTCCTCCCACAGTCCAAAGACGTGCAGGCTAGGTGGATTGGCTGTGCTAAATTGCCCCATAGTGTCCAGGGATGTATAGACTAGGTGGGTTATAGGGGGATGGGTCTGGGTGGGATGCATTAAGAGTCATTGTGGACTTGTTGGGTTGAAGGGCCTGTTTCCACACTGTATGGATTCTGTGATTCTGTGAGACCTGAGGGGCATATGTGAGACTCCAGTCCATATTGATGTAGTTAACTCTTAATTGTCATCTGAAGTGGTTACCAATGCCCTCAGTTGCATCACCACCATGTCAGGTCAGCAAGAGAGCAACCTTGCCAACGGTGCTGCCATCTCAAGGGCAAACATAAGTAAAATGTACAGACTTGCTGGGCTCCTGCAAACCCAATGTTTCATTATTGTTTCTTTCCAAGGTGTGTGTCCAGAATCTGGAAGAGAAGGTGAGGGAGCATGAGGATTATAACAGTAACCTGCAAGAGGTGGAGAAATGGCTGCTGCAGATCTCCACCAGGCTAGTGTTACCTGACACCACCCAGAGCACTAACCTGGAGATGGCAACTCAGCATCTGGCGAGGCACAAGGTGCACAGCAATGATACGATTTGAACAAACCGCTTTTCTCCTCAGGAAACACTCAAGATCGAGACTGTGGGCTTGCCCCCATTCACAATGGCAGCCCATCAGAATATAGGAAGACATGCCAGTTGTTGGGCCTCTGGGACAAGGCTAACAAACACTTCGAATCCATTCCCCACCCACCTCTGTACCATATCCTTGAATACCCTCATCCTTAAAACTGTACTGATCTCAGTCTGGAAAACTCCAAATACCGCCTCAGCAACTCCACTGGAAGACAATTCCAGAAGTTGTAATATTTTGAGTGAAGATGTGCATTCTAATATCAACCCTGAATGCCATAACTCTCAGTTTAACTTAGACCCCTTTATCTGGACCCCTCCACCAGTCGAGGTAGCACCTATCTGTATCACTATCTGCCTGTCCAGTTTGCTGTCAATCTTTCTCTGTATTTTTACCTGATCTGATCCTTAAACATCTCAGTTACATTACCCCTTAACCTCCTGTGCTGAAAGGATTATAAGCCTTGACTATATTTATCCTTGTCTCACAGCCTGTCAACATAATTGGCATTTCAGAAGGTCCCCCTTGATTTACCCTCCGCTTGCTTCGAGAATGTTTGTCCTGATCCTTCACGGTGACGTACCGGCTTCCTGTTAAATGGGAAAAGCTGCGTAGGTGTGCAATGCCAGAAGGGTCAGGCTCTTGCACTTTCCAAGCAATCCCCTGCTTACTGGATCTTTGGGAGCTCTGACAGTCGCACCTGAAATTAAGAGAGGGTGGGAGACTGGGAGAAATATTCTGACTGAGCTTGTTAAAGGTACGGAAACCCCTGTTGTCCCTCACAGGATTTCCCTCTGTGAAGGCCGGAAGTGACAAGTGACGACCTGCAAAGAAGGGCCTGGAGGGAGGTGAGCTCCATCGGCGAGGTCTGGGCAGGCAAGTGGCAGAGGCTCTGTGCCAACCTGCACTTCCTGCCAATGCCATATCCTCCTGGCTTGACCTTATGAACTCTGGCAGAGTTAGCCTTGGGGGTGGAGTGCATTGCCTACTGCAGGATGGCATCCTCAGGAGTTTTGTTTCAGTGGATAGTGGGGTTGTTTGGCCCACAGCAGAAACCCTGAGCTAACTTTCCAGACAAAGTGAGCTCCCCACCCTGCTTCAAGGTGGAAGTGTTGGCTTTGGAAGGAGTGTGATGCAGATTCACTGGAGTGCCAGTGAGGCTAAAAGAATTCAAGACTCAATCTTGCAAAGACTTGGCTGGTATAGAGGATGAAGGCTTATATGTTGAGAGTCATAGAGTTATACAGGACAGAAACAGTCCAACTCGTCCATGCTGACCAGGTATCCAGCCTCCACCACTTTCTCTGGCAGCTCATTCCATTCACACACCACCCACTGTGTGAAAATACCACAGGGTCATAGAGCTGTACAGCACGGAAATGGACCCTTTGGTCCAACTCATCCATGCTGACCAGATATCCTAAATTAATCTAGTCCCATTTGCCAGCATTCGTCTCAGATCCCTCTCAACCATTTCTATTCATGTACCCACCCAGATGCCTCTTCAATGTTGTAACTGTACCAGCCTCCACCACTTCCTCTGACAGCTCTTTCCATACACACTCTTTCCTCTGTGTGAAAACGTTGCCCCTCAGATCCCTTTCAAATCTCTCCCCAATCACCTTCAACCTATGCCCTCTAGCTTTGGACTCCCGACCCTGGGGAAAAGACCTTGGCTATTCATCTTATCAATGCCCCTCACAATTTTATAAATCTCTATAAGGTCACCCCTCAGCCTCCGATGCTCCAGGGAAAATAGCCCCAGCCTATTCAGCCTCTCCCTATAGCTCACACCCTCCAACCCCATTGAGGGGTTTGAAATGTTTTATCAGGTGGACAGGGGAAAACTATTTCCTCAGGTACAGATGAGCAGTCTTATACTGAGAGCGCAGCCGGTCAATGTTCCTTCGCGCAAAGGCGAGTGAAAGTCTGGACCCTGCACCCTCAAAACACTGGTAAGGCTGAAGGCCAGTGGACTCCTTAGAACTGTCATTGATAGATATTTGCTTGGCAATGGTAACCAGGGTTACGGAGCAAATACTGAGAGGTGAAGTGAAGGCCTTGACCTGAATGAAAGACAGCATGGGCCAGAGGGCTGAATGGCCTCCTCCTGTTCCCAAACATACTCCCAACTAACGTTTTCCCTGAGCATGATGTCAGCACGGTAACTCAGTGTGACTTTACGATTTTCTTCTACCCTAACAGCCAATCATGGAGGAGATAGCCGGCTTTGAACATGCTCTAGCAAGTCTGAGAAGCAAAGGGGACAGCCTGGTTGCCAACTGCACCGAGGAGCTTCAAGGAAAGTTTAAGCATCAAGTCCAAGGTCATCTGCAGGGGATCCGTGACAGTTACTCTGCCATCTGTAGCACAGCTCAGAGAGTAAGGAACACTCATTGCACTCACAGCTGGGCTGGGCAGGTTCGAGTCTCTTTCTGAATCGGGGTCGGGGGCGGGCACTAAACCAGGCAGTTTCTAATCCTGGTGAGCTACATCTATCTGCTTGATCCCAAAATCCATTCAAATGACATTTTTTCCTTTGTTGAACTGCAGAAACCTGCAGTATTTAGATAAATGTCTAAACAATTCCAGTGCCCTTTGGACCAGGCCTCAGTTGCCAACTAAATTAATAAGGACGCCAATTGACTGGAGTTGTTGGGATGCCAGAGGCCTGCCAGCCACCTGCCCTCACGTTTTGATCCAAGGAAACAGATTTGCCATCTCAGGCTGTTTAAAGCTTCCCAGACAGAGGAGCAATAAATTCCTGCTTTTGCCATCCCTGCAGCCAGTCCCTTTTCATGGCCTGGTGTCTGGGTGAGGCTGGTCACAGGCCAGCTTGTTCCACACGCTGCTGCTTGGTGTTAGATGAGGTGGGAGCTTCTACACCCCCTGCCCTGCCTCCTTCCAACACAGTCTGAGTGACTGAGCTTGATTGGCAATGAGCATGCCAGCTGCTTCCCCACCCCTTGGTTACAGGAAGCCAGCCTGTGTGAAGACAAGAAACAAATCCTTGTCATTTTCCCATGATGAGAGATGTGGGCAACGAGCAGTGGGGCAGCACGGTGGCTCAGTGGTTAGCACTGCTGCCTCACAGCGCCAGGGACCCGGGTTCAATTCCGCCCTTGGGCGACAGTCTGTGTGGAGTTTGCACTTTCTCCCTGTGTCTGTGTGGGTTTCCTCCCACAGTCCAAAGATGGGCAGGTTAGGGTGGATTGGTCATGCTATGTTGTCCAACGTGTCTGGGGATGTGCAGGCTAGATGGACTAGCCATGGGAAATGCAGGAACAGGGTGGGCGGCTGGGTCTGCGTGTGATACTCTTCGGAGGGTGGGTCGGTATGGACTTAATGGGCTGAATGGCCTGCTTCCACACTGGTGGGATTCTGTGGAAGCTGGAAACAGTGCCTGGTTGAACCTGCAGCTTTTGCTGATTCTGTGTCTGTGTCTAACCCATTCCTTCCCAGCTGTACCAGAGTCTGGAACGTGAACTTCAGAAGCATGTCAGTCACCAGGACACCCTGCAGCAGTGTCAGGCCTGGCTCCATTCTGTGCAGCAGGAACTGAAGCCCCAAGGCCACCCACCCACCAGCCCACAGAAATCCCTCAAACAGGTAACAGCACAGAGTCACAGGTCAAACCTGTGAGGGAGGGACATATCTACCTTCGAGCTTTCTCCCTATGTTAGGCTAGCAGTTGTGCCCATTCCTAGTTGCCCAGAGTGACCGTTAGGAGCCAACCACTTCACTGTGGCTCTGGAGTCACATGTAGGCCAGACCAGGTGAGGACGACAGATTTCCTTCCCTAAAGTACATGTGTGAAGCAGATGGGTTTTTATGACAATCAACAGTTAGGTCGGCTTTTTATTCCAGATTTTATTGAATTTAAACTTTACCACCTGTCATGGTTAAGATTTGAACCTATATCCTCAGAACATTGCCCTGGGGTTCTGGATTGCTAGTCCAGTGATATTACCACAACCTCCCACAGTGGGGTTACAACTCAGATCAGCCAAGATTAAAATTGGAACAGATCAGAGAGACTGAATAGCCAACTCTTGTTTCTAAGTCCAATCTTCAACACTGTTTCATCCTCAGATAATATTCTTGTGAATGGTGAATGTTTACCCCAGCTGGATAAGTCAATCAGGTGTGTTGTAGGGTAACGTGGAGATCTCTGTTTGCACTGAACACACCTGTAACTGCTGTAGCTGAGCCTGCTTTGTGTCTCGGTCAGACTTTCTCCCCATCCTCAAGGTCCGAGAGCCACATGTCCACCTGCTGGAACATGAGCATGCTTTTAAACTAGAGACAGAGGCTACAAAAGCAAAGGAGTTACAGTTAAACCTTTATTAATCATCCACGCCATTGGGTCTAATTCGGAGTACGACTCAGCCTAGACCTTCCACGATCTGAAACACCTTTGTTAAATCTAGTCTCAAATGTCTCTCAGGAGGAGAGCTCCAGCTGTTCCAAGTAACTAAAGTCCCCATGTTGACAATCTTTTCTCCACCCTGTCCAATTCTGAAAGTGCTGTGTCCAGTGCGGGACCTGAGACTGCAGCAGTGTCATGTAAAGGTTCATCACAAACTCGTTGCTTCCGTACTGTGCCTCTATACATAAGATCTTGTCTACCTTTTTAGTCACTTTCATAACCTGCCCTGCCACCTTTACTGATTACACACCTTTAGAACTGGACCCTTTCTTTTGATTTGATTTGGTTTGTTTTATTATTGTCACATGTACCTAGGTACAGTGAAAAGTTTTGTGTTCAATACGGGCCAATCACACCATATAAAGTGCATTAGGGTAATAGACCAGAGGAATTAGGACAATGTTACAGCTGCAGAGAAGATGCATAAAGAGTGAGGTCAACATTAAATTTAAAATTTGAGAGGTTCATTAAGGAGCCAATTAGCAGTGGGGAAGAAGCTGTTCTTGAATCTTTTGGTACATGTGTTTAAGCGTTTGTATCTTCTGCCTGACGGAAGAGGTTGGAAGAAATTATAATCGGGGTGGGAGGGGTCTTTGATGATGTTGGCTGCCTTCCTGAGGTGGTGAGAAGTATAGATGGGGTGAATGGATGGAAGGTTGGCTTGTGAAATGGACTGGGCTGTGTCACAACTTTCTGTAGTTTCATACAGTCCTGGGCAGAGCAGTTACTGTACCAAGCTGTGATGCATCTGGATAGAATGCTTTCTGTGGTGCATCTATAAAAATTGCTAAGTGTATTTATGGACTTTTTGTCTCTCCTGGTAATTCCTTGCAACATGAATCAATTTACACCTCTGCTAATTGATGGTGATTTAGTTTACATAGCATCCTTCCTCAGCCCTTCTTTCATAGTGTATTAACATTGTTGGGGCATTGTACACAGACGGTGTTGTATGATGTGAACTGTTACTAACTCCAGACTCCACCTTGCTGCAGGTGAAACATTATCGGGCTCTGCAGGAGCAGGCAAGTACTTACCTGGAACTGCTTTGCTCCATGTGTGACCTGTCTGATGACAGTGTGAAGAAGACCGCAGCAGATATCCAACACACTAAACAAGCGGTAATCTCTACGTTTTGCTTCTTCAGCTCCCAAGCCACCAATTTCTAAACATGCCATACCATTGCCAACTTACGAATAACCCACAGCTGTTCTTTGCAAGAACCCAAAGGGTGTAAAAAGGCTTGTATGTGGTTAATTTTGAAACTCCAAATTGAGAAATTCAAAACATCAGAACTGAAGTATTTTTCTCGCTCATTTAATCAATATTTGAGTTTTTACATAACAAAGAGTAATCTACAGTTCAAATCCTGAGTATTGTCTGTATCATCCGTCATATCCTTTAAACTTGAAAGCTAAATTTCTCCAATTTGGGAGGTTAAATTGCACAGAAGAGCAATTAAGGGGGGTTTTTATTTACCATTGAGTTGTGTAATAATTTACAGGTCTTATAAGAACATGCAATGATAGCGAATGCTGGGCTTGCTGCGGGCAGATATAAATATACACAGAGCATCGCACTGTTCAGCCTTCTGTAGAGTTATTAGTGAGCAGGAGTCGAAAACTTGCAGCCATAAATGTGAGATAGTTACTGATAAATCCAAATAGGAATGAAGGAGAAAGTCTTTGTAGAGAAGAAGATTAACTCCTGAGAATGTCCACAGAACATGACCATGACCATGACAGGACTCTGAAGAAGGAGTTCTAACCTCTGGATGTGTTTAAATCAGTATTGCTAGCGTTGTGCAAATGAGCAATTATTTCAGAAAGCCTTAAGAGCCTGGCCAGATCTCTACCTTAGAGTAGTGCACCTCAAATATTGTCTAAAACTCCACCTGATGATGATGGGCTCTTTACCAAGGGAAATGTTAATAACGTCAAACTCACTAGTGCATGGACTGGTTGTAGCAAGTGGCATAAAAGTATTTCGAGATTCACATGAGGGAGAAGGGATTAGAAGAAAATTATTATAGGGTGAGATGATTAGTGTACGCTAAAAGCTGGAAGAAGCTGGTAGACTTGGTCCCTCTCCATAGTGGGTGAGAACCCAGTCATCAACCTCATGCAAGGCGTCCTCACTGTTGCTGTTATGTGGTACAGGTCTGCAGAGGTGCAATGGGAAAAGCTTGCTGTCCAAGGACTTTCAATCCTGGGTCACTGGGAATTGTAACACCTTAAACACTGTGTTCTGTCTAGGTAATGCTCTTCCCTTTATTGCCTCTTACAGGGGGAAGGTGGTATTAAGCTACCTCCTTTAACCATTGCAATCTACGGGAATAAGCACAGTCACTGTGCTGTTAAGAAGGGAGTTCCAGAATTTTGACCCAGTGAGGGCATAGCATCAAAATCTGCAAATTTTGCAGTCACCCCTGGGAAGTGGGTCTTGAACTCAGGACCTTCCAACCCTGAGGAGGGTGTGCTGCTCAGAGCACCTCGCCTCATGGTTACAAGTCACGTGACCATGTCACGCTGGGTGGTGTGGGTGCAGGCATGGTGAGCTGGTGTCTGTGCGGTTTGGTGAAGCCAGGCTGTTACGTGTTTCAGATTGAGCAGCAGCTGATCAGGTCTCAGGAACTGGCCCTCGGTTGGGAGGAAGTAAAGCGACAGAAGGCCGAGCTGGGAGCTTACTTCCTGGAGACTGAGCAGCAGCTGCAGAGCCTGAGGAGGAGGCCTGCTGAAGTGGAGCTGAAGACTGCTCAGAAACAGGTGGCCCAGGTGCAGGTAAGAAAATTTTGCTCGTACTAATCGGGACATCATTAGAATCCCTATGGTGTGCAAGTGGTCCCTGTAACCCTGTATATCCCATGGCTAACCTTGCATGCACATCCCTAGATACTATGGGCAACTTAACATGGCCAGTCAACCCAACCTGTACATCTTTGTTGGCGGCTATTGTGGTAGTGTCCCTACCTCTGAGCTGTAAGGTCTGAGTTCAAGTCCCACCTGCCCTTAATGTGTGTTATAACACAATTGAACAGGTTGATTAAAAATATCAATGATCAAAATATTCAGTTCTTTCATGGCTCATCTATTACCTCAACTGCGTTCACCCACCTCTTCCCAACTTTTGCTTCATATCACTCAATACTCTAAACTAACAAAACATTACCAATACCAATACCAATTTCTCCCATGGACCGCCAGGATCCCCAGCATTTTGGGGGAAAAGATTTCTGCTGCCCTTTTCCGATTCCCATTCTGTCTGGTCCCATTGTTAAGGTAACGCCCCGTGATCTTTCCCTGTATCTGCCCGATCGAAGCCCCGGTTGATCTTGCACGCCCCGGTTCGATCACCCCTTAGCTTTCTAAACTCAGGACGTTAATCCAAGTTGAAGCAATGTGTCCTCGTAATTCAACCCTTGTAAACGTTGAGATTCTGACAAATCTTCGTTCTGCCCCCTCCATGGTGAAATTGCCCTCTCTGTGATGGTGTTGACCGTAATAAATACTACACCCCAGATGTGACCTGGACAGCTTTGTGCAATTGTCTTTATCTGGAATCAATACTATTTTTGTAATCGTATCCTTCCATTTAAACTAAATTCACAAAATCCAAACTCACTTTGCAATAAAGAGACAGGATTGAGCAACTCTAGCTCTCGTCTTAAGGCAATAAGCAGTAATTTAAAATGAGCCTACCCCATCTTTGATCCAAATGACCTTTTACTGATGAGGCATGTAGCCTCATTCAGACTTCATAAGCCACTGGCATTTTAATCCATTGAAATGAAAAAATTTGGATTTATTTCTTTTGGTTAGGATCTGGGTCGTCATTTCCAGTCCAAGCAGGCAAACATCACTGCCCTCACAGAGAAGGTCAGTACTCTGACAGAAGGCCATGAATCGTCCGAACACTCCGAGATTGGTCAGCTGAGCAACCAGTGGCTGGAACTGTGCCACCAGATCAATTCTCTTCTCTCACTGAGAGAGGAGGACCAGCAGAGAGCCAGAGATTACCACGACCGAGTAGGCGTTGTGGAAGTGATTTTGGACAAGTTCACAAAAGAGTGGGACAACCTGGCAAGGTGAGGAGTGTGTGTGTGTGTGTCTGTGTCTTAATGTTTGTGTGTGTCTGTGTGTGTGTGTCTGTGTCTGTGTGTGTGTGTGTGTCTGTGTGTGTGTGTGTGTGTGTCTGTGTCTGTATGTTTGTGTGTGTCTGTGTGTGTGTGTCTGTATGTTTGTGTGTGTGTGTGTGTGTGTGTCTGTATGTTTGTGTGTGTCTCTGTCTGTGTGTGTGTGTGTGTGTGTGTGTGTGTGTGTGTCTGTATGTTTGTGTGTGTCTGTGTGTGTGTGTGTGTCTGTGTCTGTGTGTGTCTGTGTGTCTGTATGTTTGTGTGTGTCTGTGTGTTTGCATATGTGTGTGCATCCGTGTGTCTCTGTGTGTGTCTGTATGTGTCTGTGTGTGTGTGTGTGTGTGTGTGTGTGTGTGTGTGTGTGTGTCTCTGTGTGTGTGTGGCGGGGGTGGGGGTGGTGGCGAGGCAGATGGACTCATCCATTGATATCCATTAGGTTATTTCAGTTCCCTCTGTGGGATCTTGCTGTGCGTAGGTTGGCTGATTTTATCCCTTGCCAAAAATAAAGCGCACGATTGATTCCAATTCAAATGGTACTCAATGAAACATTTTGAACATCTGCTCTGGATGGGACTGGCGTCATATAAATGCAGCCTCTTCCTTCCGTCCATTTGTCCACTGTGCGTCGCTCTACCCGATACTGTGTTTCTTTCTATCTCTATGTCTGTCTGTCTGTCTGTCTGACTCTGTCTGCCCATTTATATCCGTCTGGTCTCTCTGTACCTCTATCAGCCCTGTCCCCCATGTGGCAGAGTCTATCCACTTGCTGTGAGGGAGGTATGTGACATGTTCACATTGTTAGCTCCTGCTTACCTTCACCTTCTCTCAGCAAACCATGCTGAGAGCTCGAACCTAACACTCAGGATTCCCAGCAGCCGCTCCAGGAAGGCAAAGAGACCCTACTCTGAAAAATGATCCCAGGAATTAAACCAGAGAGAGACCCCCGGGAGTCAGCATCGTCACTATTTCTCGGGACTGATTCCTGGGATTTCTGCGCAAGGAGAGTGTGGGTCGCCTGGGCCTGTATCCACCACACTTTAGAAGAATGAGTGAGAAATGACTTTGAAGTGTATCAAATCCTGACCAGAGCTGAGTCAGACTGGTTTGCCCTGTCTGGAGGGGGTCTCTAGAACAAGGGGTCTCGGGCTCAAGGTCCAGAGCAGGCTCACTTTGGGTTGAGTTGAGGAGAAATGTCTTCACTTGGTGGGTGATGAACCTGTGGAATTTTCTACCACAGGAGGCTGCGGAGTTGAAATCACTAAAGAAGGAAATGAATTTCCAGACACTAAATGCATCAAGGGGAATGAGTATCTCAGAGAGAGTAGGAACTGTCGATGCTGGAGTTGGAGATAACACACAGTGTGGAGCTGGAGGAACACAGCAGACCAGGAAATCCTGAATTTACTGAAGGAGGGTCGCAACCCGAAACGTCAACTTTCCTGCTCCTCTGATGCTGCCTGGCCCGCTGTGTTCATCCAGCTCCACACTGCGTTATCTATATAGGGGTGGGAGAATAGTGTGTATGTTTAGGAGTAGAACATTGAGGTAGAGGATGATGATGTTGTTTGGCTCGATGGGCCTGCTTCTATTCTCCGTGTTCCTTTATGTGAATGTCCTGACTCGGATGATGATTTTCCTTTCTGGCAGGACTGATGCCGAGAGCACAGCCGAGCACCTGGAAGCTCTGAAGAAGCTGGCGGGTGTTGTACAGGCTCAAAAGTTTGTTCTGGATGACCTGAAGGAGCAGAAGCAGACGCTGATGGACCGCCTGGACCCTGAAGACAAGGAGTTGATCAAAGAGCAGAGCAGCCACTTGGAGAGACGGTGGGCCCAGCTGGAGGGCCTGATTGAAAAGAAGATACAGCTGTCTGCCCTGACCCTGGAGGAGCTGAGCCAGTGCCAGGCCAAGCTGGACGACCTGCTGGAGTGGGCGGATGCTCAGGCCCACCTCTTCGGCGAGGCCCTAAGGTGCAGCCCCCAGGCCGAGCTGGCCCAGACCCTGCTTCCGGACCACGTTGCCATCTGCAATGAGCTGGAGTCACAGGAGCTGGCCCAAGGGGCGCTGACGGAGGAGGCCGAGAGGATCGTGGCCCACCTGGGCCTGGACGAGAGGCAGCGGCTACAGAGGGCCCTGAGCGCGTTGCACGGCAGGCTGGCCTCCCTGCGCGAGGCGGTGGGCCAGCGCAGGAAGTACCTGAGTAAGGCCTTGTCAGACCGCACCCAGTTCCTCATGGCCGTCAGCCTGGCCTCCAGCTGGGTCCAGCAGAACCGGTGGTTGGCCACCTCCCAGGAGCAGGTGGCCCTCATGCCGGCCGAGGTGGGCAAGCAGATCCGGAGCTGCAAGAACATTGGCGCCCGGCTGAAGGAGTACCAGACGGATGTGGCAGCCCTGTGGGCCCAGGGCAGGGAGCTGGCCAAGGAGGATGAGACATCCGAGATTATGGCCCGGCTGCAGGAGCTCCAGGCTACGTACGACTCGGCCGTGCAGGAGAGCGCCCAGAGACTGCAGGAGCTGGAGAAGGTCCTGCTCTCCAGGAAGTACTTCAAGGCAGATCTGGACAGGGTGTGCCAGTGGATGAAGCAGGCTGACGTGGTCACCTTCCCGCAGGTCAGCCTGATGGGCAGCGATGCGGAGCTGTCCTCGCAGCTCGGCAGGTACCAACAAGTTCTGGAACAGTCCGCCGAGCATGAGAACCTCCTGCTGCTGGTGCAGAGAGCCGGCCACGAGCTGCTGCCCTCTCTCAGCGAGGCTGACCACTCCTTCCTGGACGAGAAGCTAAATGCCCTGCCCCGGCAGTTCAACCGCATCGTCGCCCTGGCCAAGGAGAAGTCCGAGAAGGTCCAGGAGGCCGCGGCGGCCCGCCAAGAGTATGTCTCTCTGGTCGATCTGACGGTCAAGGCGCTGAGCGAGCTCGAGGATCAGCTGACCCGCATGAGCAAGGCCCGCCTCAGCCTCTCGTCGGAGGAGGCTGAGTCGGCACAGAGTGACTACAGGGCCCTCCTCGATGAGCTGACGGGCCTGGGCAAGGCGGTCGACGACCTGAACCAGAGGAAGGAGACCTTCCGGAGCTCTGGCCAGCCCTGGATGCCGGACGAGGTGGCGGCCCTGTCCAGCCTGTACAGCCGCCTGAGGCGACAGGCCGAGCAGCAGCTGGGGCTCCTGGGCGACACCCTGGAGGCCTACCGGGAGCACGAGGCCCGCTCGCTTAGGCTGGAGGCCGCGCTTCGCACCCTGGCCGAAGAGCTGGTCAAAACCAACGAGGAAACCCTGTCGGTGGAGGAGAAGCTGAAGAACTATCACGCTCTGGCAGGGACGGTGCAGGAAGCTGGCTGTCTCCTGAAGGAGTTGATCGAGCAGGTGGAGCAGTTTTCACCAGATTTGGACAGCACGGCCCATCCGGCAAGGAGCCAGCAGCTACAAGCCTGGAAAGAGGAGCTTCAGTCAGCGCAGGGAGCCATCAGTACCAGGATAATGGAGTGCGAGAGCAGGCTGGTTCAAACAATCGACTTCCAGACAGAAATCCAACACACTCTGGATTGGCTGCGGCAGATGAAGGGAGACCTCAGTGCTGACTTGAACCTGGATGTCAATCTCCAGAGCGTCCAGGAGGAGATCCGGAAATCCCAGATCCTTGAGGAAGAGGTGCAGTCAAGCCTTCGGATCATGGCAGCATTGAGCGGTAAAGAGAAAGAGAAGTACGCCGAGTCCAGGGAGCTGATACCTCCAGAGGTGGAGAGCAACCTGCTGGAACTTTCTAAGCTCGAGGCTGAAGTCCAGGAGACCCTGAGCAGCAAGAAGGTTAGTCAACTAATTGGGAATGGCGAGGTGAGAGAAAACCAAACCATCTCACTTTGGCCTTCGATTGTTGGTGAGATGATGGTGTAGCGGGATTGTAATTATACTAACTGTTACTAGGGGAGGTCAGTATTACAGATGTCTCTCTCCTTCTCTGATATTATACCTCTCATGTCTTTCTTCATTGCTGCAGTCCCCTCTCTCTCTCTCTACGTCTCTCTAATAGTAGAGTCCTTTCATCTCAGTTACAGCCCTGTCTCCCATCTAAAAGTTTTCTCTCTGGGTTTTACAGTCCTCTGTACAGTGTTATAACTCTCCCCTGAATATTGCAGCTTTTACTCTAGTATTGGGGTCCTTCCCTCAAGTCTTGTAGCTTTCTTTTTGGTAACACAGGCCACTCTCCAGTCTGATATCCCTCTTTACTGCATTACAGCCTTTCGACTTTTTAAAAAAATTCATTTTATGCATTTCTTGCCCGTCCCTAGTTGCCTTTGAGAAGGTGGTAGTGAGCTGCCTTCTTGAACCGCTGCAGTCCACTTGCTGTGGGTTGATCCACAATGCCATTAGGGAGGGAATTGCATGATTTTGACCCAATGACAGTGAAGGATATTATAGTTCTCTCTCTCTCTCTATCTCTGTCTGCCTCTCTATCTCTCTCTCTCTCTCCCCCTCTCTCTTGCTCTCACTCTCACTCTCTCGCTCTCTCTCTCTCCCTCTCTCTTGCTTTCTCTCTCTCTGTCTTTCTATCTCGCTCTCCCTGTCTCTTGCTCTCACTCTCTCACTCTCGGTCTCTCTCTCTCTCGCTCTTATGGGTACTACAAATCCACTCTCCAATCTGGCATTGCCTGTCAGTGGAAACTCTTCTCAAGCTATTGACACCACCACCCCCGCTCCCCGTCCCCAGTGGCAGCAAAGTGAGAATTGTAACTTTTGTGAGAAATATGACTCAGAAGTGACAGAAGACCTGATGATTTTGCTGGATGCAGGTTAGGATGAGACAGTGCAGGTTAAGGACACTGTTGTCCAAGCAGTGAGCTGATGATGATTTCTGTTCCACACCTCCTACCAGACAACCCTGGATAAGGTGCAGGCTCTGATCCAGCAGTACCTACGGGCAGTTCAGACTGCTGGTAGCTGGCTCGATGATGCCAGTGCCCTCTTACAGCAGACTGGAGATGGCGTGGATGTAGAGGGTTCGGAGGAAGCCTTGAGAAGGCACGTTGAGTTCTTTGCCACGGAAGCGGAGCTGGCCAGCCAGCTGGCAGAGTTGGAGGCACTAATGCCCAGCTTCCTGCCATTGATCAACACGGCAGGGAGAGAACACGTGGAACAGAACTTGGCCTCGTTACGACAAAGGGGAGCAGACACCGAGCGACAAGCTGAGGCTCAGCAGGCCATTCTCCAAAGGTAAACTCCTCACGTAGGCAACAGTATAGAATGAAATAGGTGGAGGGGCAGGCAGTGTTGAGGAGGCAGGGAGACTGCAGAAGACCGAGATAGAGGAGCAGAATTAGGCCATTCGGCCCATCGGAGGATTGGACAGGCTTGGGCAGTGGGCAAAGCAGAGGCAGATTGAATACAAAGGGAAAGGGTGAGGTTAGGCACTTTGTTAGGAAGAGTACAGGCATAGACTATTGCCTAAACGGGGACAGACTTTGGAAAGCAGGAGCACAAACGGACGTGGGAATCCTAGTTCAGGATTCTCCTCAGGTAAACAACAGGTTCAGTTGGCAGTTAGGAAGGTAAATGCAGTGCTAGCATTTATTACAAGAGGGCTAGAATACTAGAGCAGGGATGTACCACTGAGGCTGTATAAGGCTCTGATCAGACTGCATTTGGAATGTTGTGAGCAGTTTTGGGCCCTATATCTAAGGAAGGATGGGTTGGTGTTGGATGAGGTGCAGAGCAGGTTTACAAGAATGATCCTATGGTTGAAGGGCTTATCATAGGAGTGATTGAGGACTCTGGGTCAGTACTGGATGGATTTTAGAAGGATGAGGAGAATCTGATTGAGAATTACAGAATATAGAGAGGCCTGGATAGAATGGATGTGGAGAAGGTGTTTCCACTTGTAAGAGAGACTAGGATCCGAGGGCAGAGCCTCAGAGTGAAGGAACGACCTTTAGAACTCAGATGGCGAGGAATTTCTTTGGCCAGGGAGAGCTGAATCTGTGGAACTCATTGCTGCAGAGGCAGTGGAGGCCAAGTCATTGAGTGTATTTAAGAACGAGATAGATAAATTCTTGATTAATAAGTGGATCAAGGGTTACGGGAGAATGGGGTTGAGAAACATATCAGCCATAATCAAATGGCAGACCAGACTCGATGGGCCAAATGGCCCAATTCTACACCTATACCTTATAGTCTGATCTTGTAGAATGCAAGGTTGCAATGTCATTGAGCTCGTGTGGGTAGATTAGTGGAGCAAGGATACAATGGAAGTAGATTTTTAATCAAGGATCGAATTCATAGAATGCTTTCAAGAGAGCATCTTAGAACAGAACATTCTAGAACCATCCAGAGAACAGTTTATACTAGATTTGGAATTGTCTAATGTGACAGGATTAATTCATGACCTCAGAGTGAAGACATCATATAATATAATTGAACTTTACTTCCATTTTGAAAGGGAGAACAGTGGGTCTAAGACTAGTATTTTAAACTTAAATTAGGTAACAATGTGAATGTGAAAGCTAAGCTAGCTGAAGTGACGAGGAATATTAAGCTAGGGGGTAGGTCATTAGAGAAGCATGGCGGGCATTCGAAGGAATAATTCAGAATACTCGGAATAAGTAGATTCCTACTTTAAAGAAAAGTTCCAAGGATGGGACCCACCATGCGTGGTTAACTAAAGAATTTAAGGACAGCAGCAAACTTAGGGAAGAAACATATAATTGTACAAAGATGAGTGGCATGTCAGATAACTGGTTAGAATGCAAAGAATGACTGAAAGGTTAATCAGGACAAATAAAGCATGAGAGGAACCTAGCTATAAATATAAATTAGAAAGAGTTTCTGTAAATATATAAACAGCAAATGTGTAAGTAATGGGAATGTTGGTCCCTTGGATGTTGAGAAAGAGAGTGAATAGTAGAGGATACAGAAAACATTCTAGTAATATCTGTAAGTCAGGAGGTGGAAGGAAGAGAGGAACTTGAGATTTTAATATCTACAGAAGTGGCGCTGAGAAAACTGATAGAGCTTCAAATAGTTAAAATATTTTATTGAACCTATTTTTCCTCATCAACTTGTTCAGACTTGTTATTACACACCTCTGGAGCAGATGGGACTTGAACCTGGCCCTCTCGGTTCAGAGATAGGGACATTGCCACAAGACGGCCCCTATGAGTAGTTAAGTCACTGAGTCGTGGTGGACTTCACCTTAGGGTCTTCCAATGGTGGTCAATGAGGTAGTGGATGCATTGGTGTTAAACTTCCAAAATTCTTTAGATTCTGTACAGGTTTCATCTGGCTGGAAAATTGTAAAAATAACCGCTCTATTTGAGAAGGGAGGGAAATGGAAAACAGGAAACTGTAGTCTAGTTAGCTTGATGCCTGCCTTGGGAAAATTATCAGAATCAGTCATTAAGGAGGTTATCACAAGGCACTTGGAAAACTCGAGATAATCACGAAGAGTCGACATAGTCTTGTGAAAGGGAAATCCCATTTCACCGATTTATTGGAGTTCCTTGAAGGAGTAGCAAAGGCTCCAGATAACAGGGAGCCCATTGATTATACTGTCCTGTATTGAATTTTCAGAAGGCGTTTGACAAGGTTCCACATAAAAAATTGTCACTCAAAGTTAGTTGTCATGACATGGGGGTAACATAGCAGTTGGGATAGACGATTGGCTGGCTGCAGGAAAACAGAGTATGCATGAATGGGTCTGATTTGGATTGGCAGGATGTGGTAAGTGGTCTTGCAGGATCCCCAACGTTTTACATTGTGTATCAATGACTTAGATGAGGATGGTAGCTGAGCTTGCAGATGACACAAAGGTAGGGTAGGCAAGTATGTTATGAAGCTGGCATTACAGGGATGCAGGGAATGGGCAAAATATTGGCAGATGGAGTGTCTGTGGGAAAATGTGAAGATGTTCACTTTGGCAGGAAGAATAAGAAAAGCAGCATTTGATTTGAATAGAGTATGACTGCTGAATGCTGTGTTGCAAAGCTGCCCTGGTGCATGAGTGGTTAAAGGTTAGTATGTGGGTACAGCATGCACTTGGGAAGGCTGGAGGAATTGAAATAAGTGTAAGGAGGTTATGCTTCAGTTGTACAGGGTATTGGTGTGACTGCGCCTTGAATACTGTGTTCAGTTCTGGTCCACTTATTGAAGAAATGACATAAAAGGATTGGAAGTGGTTCAGAGGAGGTTTACTGGATTGATCAAGTGCTCAAGTTCTGAAGAAGAGCCACTGGATTTGAAATGTTAACTCTGCTTTCTCTCCACAGAGGCTACCAGATCTGCTGAGTTTTTCCAGCAATTTCTGGTCGTGTTTCTGATTTCCGGCACTCTCAGTTCTTTGGGTTTTTTTCTCGTTTACTGGATTGATACCTGCAATGAGTGGACAGATAGACTTGGTTTCACTGGAGTTTACAGGAGCAAACGGTGACTGGATTGATATTTATCATGTCCAGAATGGTCTTGTTAAAGTGGATATGCAAAGGATGTTTCCTGTTGTGGGTCAGCCCAGAATAAGAGAGTGCTGTTTTACAATTAGGAGCTCACTCTTTTAGAACAGAGATGAGGGGAATTTGTTCTCTCTGAGTGGATTGAGGAATTTGGAACTCTCTGCCCAGAAGGCAGAGGAAGCAAGCTCATTAAATATTTTTAAGGAGTGACGTGGATAGATTTTTGTTAAGCAGGGAGGTCAAATGTTGTCATGGGTGGGTGGGAATGTGGAATTTTGGAAGCAAACAGAGCAGTATTAATCTTATTGAATGGCGGAGCAGATTTGAAGAGCTGATTTATCTATTTCTGCTCCTGGTTTGTATATTTGTACAGCACGGTGATCTACGCCACCCGGAATCCTGAACCCAATTCTTTTCTCCATGTTACAAAAAAAAGATAAGAACATATTGGACAAGGTGTAAGAAAAGAATGTATAAGAAAGTTGGTGTATTACTCAAGAAGTTAAAGTTGCTGTGAAAAACAAGCAGTTGGGGGGCACAGTGGTTAGCACTACTGTCTCACAGTGCCAGGGACCCAGGTTCAATTCCACCCTCGGGTGACTATCTGTGTGGAGTTTGCACATTCTCCCCGTATCTGCTTGGGTTTCCTCAGGGTGATCCGGTTTCCTCCCACAGTCCAAAGGTGTGCAGGTTAAGTGGATTGGCCATGCTAAGTTGCCCATAGTGTTCAGGGATGTGCAGATTAGGTGGGTTATAGGGGAATGGGTCTGGGTGGGATGCTCTGAAGGTCGGCGTGGACTTGTTGGGCCGAAGGGTCTGTTTCCACACTATAGGGATTCTATGATTTAAATGGATGTTGTATTTCAGAGCTAGTGATGTTAGAGGCACCTAGAATATTGCTGTTAACATGGCTGATCAGGGAAACCCTCCCACTCTTAAACCATCTTCCATTTGTGTGTAAGAACCGAAAGAACTGCGGATGGTGTAAATCAGGAACAAAAACAGAAGTTGCTGGAAAGGTCCGGTGACCCTTCCTCAGAACTGAGTTAACGTTAACTCTGATTATTTTCTTCACAGATGCTGCCAGACCTGCTGAGCTTTTCCAGCAACTTCTATTTTTGTACCATTTGTGTGGGTTAGAAGGAATTCCAACTTTATACTCAACCTGCTTGCCCACATTATGAATGTACCTTCTTTTCACGGCCATCTGAGTTTCAGCTCAGAGGTAGGGACACTACCCACTCCACCACAAGACTTCCTCCTTAAAAATAATGGTAGAATGGAAATAGTCCCTATTAGGAAGCGTTTTTTTCTCAAGAAAAGAATTTTGACTTATGTTCATTGACACTTGTACTCAAGTTACTAAGGAACAGGAGTACAGTGAAAAGTGTACAGTGTCACCAAGACACGGTGCCATCTTAGGTACAAAGTACCCAGGTACAAACCTTAAGTACAAAAATAGAGAAAATAGAGAAAAAAAGCTACACTCCATTACAGATATACATAGTATAAGTTAGGAAAATAAGAAATAAAGCTAAATAGATAGACATTACAGTCTTTCTATAAGGGCTTCCACATGAACTGACCAGGCTCCACCGGTTCCCAACCAGTAGCCACCTTTGGTCCAGGCCACTGGCTATCCCCACCTCACTGCAGGCTACTGGCTGTCCCCACCTCACTGCAGGCCACTGGCTGTCCCCACGTTACTGCAGGCCACTGGCTGTCC